AATAAAAGCAGCTTTTCATCTTTCTTTCCAGTTTGAATGTCTTTTATTGTTTGCTTTCCCCCCCTTGACTGTTACAGCTAAGACTGCTAGTACTTTGAGAAATAAGAGTGGTGAGAGTGGGTACCCTTGTCTTCTGATCTTTGAGGAAAATCTTTCAGCCTTTCACCATTAAGTATGACGTTAGCTTTGGTTTTTTCATACCTTTATTATGTTGAGTTAGGTTCCTTCTACACCAGTTTGCTGAGGGTTTAGGGTTTTTTATTCAAGAAAGAATATTGTATTTTGTCCAATTCTTTTTCTGCATATACTGAGACAACGAGATGATATAGTAATCTGCTGTATCACATGCATTGATTTACATATGTTGAACCATCCTTGCATCCTGGGGACAAACCCCACTTGGTCGTGGTGTACGATCCTTTCAATGTGCTCTTGAATTTACTTTGCTAACTTTTTTGAGAAATAATTTTTGGTGCTATAAATTTCCACCTGAACACTGCTGCAGCTACATTCCACCACAATTTTTTAATATTGATTTTTATTTTCATTCAATTCAAAATATTTTCTAATTCTCTTTGTCACTTCTTTTTTGACCCAGGTGTTGTTTGGAAGTCTTTTTGTTTAGTTTCCAGATATTTGGTGATTTTTCTGGATATTTTTTCTGTTACTGATTTCTAATTTAATTATATTGAGGCCAGAGAACAAATTGTGTATATTTTCAATTATTTAAAATGTACTGACTTTTTCATGGCCTAGAATATAGACTGTATTGGTGAATGTTCCATACGTACACAAAATATGTATTGTGTTATTATTAGGTAGTGTATTTTATAAATGTCAATTTAATCAAGTTACTGGATAGTATTGTACAAATTCTGTAAATCCTTGTGGATACTTTACCTTCCTGCTCTATTAATTACTGGGGGACAAGTGTTGAAATTTCCAAGTATAATTATGGCTTCATCCATTTCTTTGTTCAGTTTGATCAGCTTTTGGTTCATGTGCATGAAGCTCTTTCACTGGATGCACACACATCTAGGGTTGTTATGCCTTCTGGGTATGCTTTTAATTATGTGTTGTTAGTTATGTAGTGTCCCTTCTCATTCCTGCAAGGCATCTTGCTCTAAATTCTAATCTACCTGAGATCAGTACTGTCACACTAGCTCTCTCCTGCCTTGTATTTGCATGCAATATCTTTCCCATGCTTTACTTTCATCTACTCTAGCTCATTACATTAAAAGTGAATTTCCTGTGGATAGAATATATTTGCAATGAAAATCTCTCCTTTTAATTATGGATTTTGCACCTTTGTATTTAAATCTACCATCTTGTACTTATTATTTTTTGAAATATTTGTTTCATCTGTGCTTTGATCCTTTGTTTTCTTTGTCTGATTTTGGGTTGCGTATTTGTTGTGATTCCAATTCTATTTCCACTCTTGTTTTATTGGTTGTAACTCTTTTTAATTCTTCAGTGGTTGCTCTGTGTTTTCCAATATGTATTTTAATTTGTTAGAGTTCACCTTCAAATAATATTATACCGCTTCTTGTGAGATTTTTAGTTCAGTCCTTTAAAGATGCCACTTTGCTGGTTTCGGGTTTTGATCCAGGCTTTGATAACCTTTCTTTTTTGTTGCCTTTTGTCAACGTGTCTTCGAATGTTTTCTCCTGCTATGTTGTTGTTTGCTATATGTATGTTATCCCATTTGATGTTCTGTCACAGCTCCCAGAAGGATGCTCCATGTTTCCGCTGTCTTCTCTTTGTGTTACAATTTCAGTAGTTTCTGTTGACCGGTCCTTAAGTTCACTCATTCGTCCCTTGGCTGTATCCTGTCTGTTCATGAGTCCATCAAAGTAGTTCTTCATTTCTGACACTACATTTTATTTGTTCTAGTATGTCAGTTTGACTTTCTTATACTTTCCACACCTGTAATGAAATGCGCTATCTCTTCCTGCATGTCCCCTCTTTCCCCATTAGACTCATTAATTTATTAATCACAGTTGTTTCAATGTCCCTGCCTAATAGTTCCAAAGTGTGTCATCTTAGGATCTGGTCCTGTTGTTTGCTTTATCTCTTGCCAATGGTTTGCCTTTTATTGCTCCATTAGTGTGTCTTGTAACCTTTATTCAATGTCCATCAGCATGAGTAGAACAACAGAGCATGAGGCAAATAGGATTTGCTCCTGGAAGTGGGCACACCCTTTCTTCCGTCAGGCTGTTAGTGAATGGCGTGGGTGCATGCATTCAGGTGTCCACCTGGATTTGAATTTTGTTGCTACAGTTGCCAGCCTGCCCCCCAGACTTCAAAACCCTTAAGAATGACTTTTGCTTAGATTAAGTTCCGGGTGTCTGGCAGTCTTAATATTTGTGCCCCTCTCAACTTCCAGCCGCTTCCGTATTCCTGAACCACAGAAAAGGGCATGGTCCGTGCCCTTGGCCCTGCGCCAGTGGTGGGCGGCTGTTACTTTTACCTGCGTTCTGAGGCTGGCTGTTGGGCAGGAGTCCTTGTCCTGTCTCAGTACAGAGAACCTTGTTATCCAGGCTTCCAGGGCGAGAGTTTCCCGGTGTTTCAGCTTCTTTCAATCTATTTGAGAGATTTTGAAAGAGTTTGTGTCCTCATGTTCCTCACTTCTCCTCTTCCCAGCTCTACCGACATAATTTGAGGTTATGTATTTGGATTATAATTATTATTCTTTTCAGCTTCAGTGTGGGGGAAAAAGTTGCTTAGAATTTTTCACTCATTCTTGTAACCAAATTAACAAATGTTTACATATATTCTATGTGATGGACAAAAGTTGTTGACAACTACAGATACTTGGAAAACTGATTTTCCCATTCTTAGCTCTTGATTTAGATTAATTCCTCAATTAGTGGAGGAAACAGAAGAGAAAAAAATAAATTTTATGATAGAAACGTTTCCCAAGTTTTTCATATCGTATAAAAGAATTCTAAAGTGATAATGCTGTCGTGATTTGAAAATCAGAGGAAACATAAAGCTTAAATCTGTCTTGTTTAAATCCTACTGGTAATTGCTTGAGAAAATAGGATCGGTGTGAGCAGATTCGAAATAGTCACATGAAACAGAAGGAACAAACTCCGACGAAACATACAAGCGGCACAGCGGAAGGCTGGAAGCAGACTGAAAGGAAGGCAGGACGGAAGGCCACGCAAAGCAGGACGTAATATCATGCCAGAAGAAATATTAAGGCAGGAAGTCGGTGTAAGCATGCTAAAATCCATTTTTAAAAGGCAAAAGCAGAGGCTGTGACCATAAACAATTGAGCTAAGCTTAGAACAACAGACAAGGCAAAAACTGACGGGAAAGATAAAGTGGAGACGTGGAGTGACGGCAACATCATCG